TAAATCCATGTTTTCCGATTCTCCTGTATTGGGAATGTTTTCACGTACATAAGCATATTTGCAAAGTCAAGAGGATTGATTGTTTCTCAAAAATTTGAACTTATGTATATCAGTATCGTAGCTGACTGACTGACTGACCGAGTATCGTTTATCAGTGAAGAAATCTGTTGGGATTGTAGAAATCCTAAGAGAACACAGCTGGAGACAACCAAATGTATTTGAACACAAAATTACAAAATCTCTTAGTAAAATCTAAGAACCATGCAGTAGATACTTCATTTGCAAAATGCCAATCAGTCGTCTCAGACATGACTGTTCTTCGTTTCCACACCAATCTTGCTCTGTTCTTATTCTCTTCTCTTCGAACTTCTTAACCTTCTATCTCCAGACATTTCACTTTCGATTGATGATACATACAACTAATATCTGTCGATATCAGTAGCATACACCACAGTTGAATACGATGCATCAAGTAACTTGGCTATTGTTATGTATAACAAGATAACATTAATTAGTACTTGGTGACCATTCATTACATATCAAACGAGCAAACGACCAATCAGAAACAATTACACGCAAAGTGACGTGTAGTTATTACCATCTAGCAAAGTAAAAAATATCAGTTTGCCATGTGTGCTACTGACGTCGACATATAAGTAGTATGTATCATCAATCGAAAGTGAAATACTTGGTGGCAGAAGGTTAGGAAGATCAAATAACAGGGAACGAGAACAAAGAATGACTGCTGAAGAAATGAAGGAACAGTCATATCTGAGAGAATCGATTTATACTTTGCAAATAAAGTATTTACTGTATGGTTTTCAAATTTTTTTATGAGATTTTGTATTTTGTGTTGTACTACATATGGTTGTCCCAACTAGTGTTCCCGTGCACTACAGTTTGACATTTCGTTACTTTACATTTCATCGACATTTATAAAAATTAATTTCAGCCAAAATCTTAAGAGTTATTACTACTAGAAGAAATTTGAAATGGAATTATGCAAGACTTTCTGATGGAATACCTCTATCATAAAATGTATGGACCAAGAACTTCTAGTTGATGTTAAAGTTAATAAACATGATCACATGTTCTGTTGTTATGCCAGTTTATAAATATGCCCTCCTATTATGAGCCTTATTTTAACCTATGAACTATTATTATACGATTTATCATTGTTGAATTATGCCCTGTCTATTAATTACTAACTCCCTCATTCACAGCCACATTTGGCTAATTCTTGTACAAATGTGGTTTCCTATTTTATTCGTACGGTGTGGTCGGTTTGATTCGAAACATTGCTCATATATCATGGGACCATCGAGTAAGTAACACAGTTGTTAGGAAACGGGTACTAGGTAAGGATGGCAAATCAATTGAAGTAGTGAAACTTCATCAGTTGAGATGGCTGGGACACGTGTTACGTATGCCCAACGACCGACTGCCTCGACGTGCTATGTTCAGTGGTATAGGAGTAGGTTGGAAGAAAGCTAGGGGCGGCCAAACCAAAACATGGCACAAGTCCATGAAGTCACTGACAAGTGAACTGAGTCATGTTGGTAGGTGTAGACTACCTGGTTGGGGACCGCGAGATGACAGCAACCGATGGTTAGAGACCCTGAATGACATGGCTCAAAATCGTTTGCAATGGCGCAGGTGCATCCACTCTCTGTGTTCTCCCAAATTCTAATCTTCTGAATTCTTCATGTCCCTTTTTTCCTCTTTCCAAATTTCTTTCACTGGATTATACTCTTTAAATAACATCTCCAAACCCTAATCTTCCCGATTACTGCTTATACTCTTATTACCTCTACCACTACGAGATTTGAATCGACAAGTGCATCTCTGTGCTAATGTGGTGTGGCAACTCGAACTGATGTACGTACGTACGAAGTTCTACGTTGTTACTGACTGACTGACTATTGCAGATGCTGAGATTGATTTTGTGGACTTAAGCGGCTGGGCTAGATAGGAAGCAGGACCGACAAGTACTACTCAATCAAATTGATTTTATGGTTAAAAACAAAAAACTAGAAGTCTAATCTTTTATTCACCCAATCTATAAAATACACTTCAGAATGTCACTCAGTTGCAATAAACATAGAGCATAGCACAAATAAGCGTTGATCCAAGTTGCTTTAATGAGTCAGTACGAGATTAAACCAACAACAAGAATACCAAGTGACTAGAAATAACTAAAGTAACAACGATAGTAAGAAAGACTAAGTATAGAAGAACATAGATCGAAAAAGAATAAAAATGCATACATGAAGGAATACTGGAACTCAAGACCTAGGATATAAGAAAAGAGTGAATGTTTCTGTGCCATTGAGATTGTTTCTGAGACATGTCACCCAACGCCTTCAACCACTGATCGCGGTTACCCTGTAGAACCTAATTAGGTATTCTGTGGCTACCAACACAACCTAGACCAACAGTCAGTGACTTCATGAACTAATGCTGTCTTGGGCTGGTAGAACTTTCTTTCAACATACTCTTACAACAGCAAACACTTCGTGTCGAGATGGATAGTGGAGAGACATAACACATGTCTCAACCGCCTCAGTCCATGAAGATTCACACCTTTACTAACTAATTTGTCATCTTTGTCTAATAATCTATGCTTAATCACATCATTGCACTTTTAACCGTTCCACAATGTGCGAATAATGTCTAGAGTGTACTACAGGAATAAACTGCAAAAGTTAGATCAAATCAACCCAAAAGCGTATAGAACTACATAGGAACCTACGAAAGTTCACTTATTCAGTAATTTAGATTTTCAATGGCACAGACATGAACACAATAAAACAAAATTGTTATTTTAACTGGACAGGAATAAGAAGTTGGTAGAAAATAAACACAGAATAAAATCAAGATACAAGTAATGAATGAATCAACATCAGTGCAACTCATCTTAAACTATATCAATTAGTTTGGAAAACTCCATTTATATCTCGAACACCTCTAACACGTAGTCTGAGAATGTTCGACGCTTGAACCGGGTTGGTGGGTACGGAGGATCCACCTAGTGGAAATGGAAAACCCTGATCCCAAACCAATGGTGCACATGGGTTACGTTATCCTGAGGGAATAAATGGTGCATGGGCCTATTGTTGATCACCGGCTACCATCGGACCGCATGTCCTGAAGTTGCTCCACTGTCTTGTGGATCAGAACTCCGGGGAGTGGCCCCTTAAGAAAATCACCTGTTCCGGTTTGGGCTCCAGGGAATGTACCAGACCACACAACCTAAATGATGATAACAATTGTAAAACCTATTTAAGCTTTAATTCTCATCTTTGCAACTTCTACTTAAAACTACTTATTAATACTCGTTTTTAATTCACATTATATCACCTATCTATTGCTTTATTCACATTTTGTATATTATTTTATTCCCCAACTTATACAGCAGCTTGCCTATAGTGGAAGATATGTCCTATTTAAACAATATCAAGTCACTGATTGGCTGAGAGTTGGATGCTACCACTGAATACAAATTCTAAACCAGGGTTTCTGAAACCATGTATTCCACTTAAACTGGCCTCCTTTAAAGTTAGCACACTAATTCAGATCGGACAACAGACAGGGCTGGCTATATCTTTAGAAAGTAAAGGTGATAGCTTAGAGCTTTAAGATGACCTGGAGAAATTATTTGAATGGTCTAGAATTTGGAAGTTACCGATAAATGCTTCCAAGTGCATAATAATGTAAGTTTGCCACCAAGGTACAGATACATGCATAGTGAAGAGAGTTGAGCTACGCGTTGTCTGGACACAATGACCGAGAAGTTATAGTTAGCCAAAGCTTTAAAACAAATGCACAATGCTGTGCGATAGCCACCAATGGTTTTAGAATCCTATGGTCAATACATAAAGACTTTAACCATGTTGTTGCTAAAGCCTTTTTGACTTTGTATACGTTGTTTGCTAGCCCTGAATCGAGTACTGAATCCAGTCGACCAGCTTCTGTTTAAAGAGACAGTGAGCTGCCTGTCCAAAGAACCGTAAATAAGCTGATTCCCGAAATAGCAAATCTTTTGTATGATGATCGACTGATTAAATTAAACCTACTTCCGTTTTCATATAGAAAAACCAGAAATGACCAGTTTTAAATTACTTTATGGCAAATTTGCATTTGATATTCCTTCATTTTTGTTGTCTTGCAGAACAGAATTTACGAGGGCACTCTATAAAGGTTTAAAAGCCCAGGACAAATTACTTGTTAGCCGGCTACTGATTTTCTCATCAAATCGACGAATGCAGTTTACTACCTCAATACATGATTGAAGCTTCTAAAGAAAGTTGGGTCAGTAGAGAGACTACCATTACGAAGACTAACACAGGCATTTAGCTTCTTGTCGTTCCTAAACTGAAACTGCATAAAACACCAAACAATTTACTAGACTGGATGTCAGTGTCCAGTAAAGGCACCTTTATAGCCGACCAAAAGGCTTTAACAGGCAAACGGACAGATCGGTACTTTATTGCTGAGTTGGAACAAATCCATATCAGCTGTTGTAAAACATTTTGTGAGATAAAAAGTTAACTAAATAGTGGAAAATGAAGTCCACCAACTTACAATCAGGATAACTAAGACAACGGTCTATAATATGTTCAAAGTGGGTACTTACTATGTAGTTAGATAACGCAGAAATGAATAAACTGATAGAATGATAAAATCGAACGCACTATTAAGAGCAAATAAAATTCAAAACAATAACAACTGACTAAAGTTAAGGAGTCAATTTACAAAAGGCTAGTTTGATGACAGATAACTCTATACGCTGAAACTCATACGGAATAAATGGTCTGGTTGACGAATTGAATTACTTTGGTGGTTCCCAAGGTTCAATTTTTGGACGAGTAGTTGAGTAAGGTATGTACTTCTTGTCCTTCTGCAAGGTCAAATTTTCCGAGTGTTCAGCAGACCACTTGTAAACGGTTGGTGGATGAGACACAGGAGTTTCGTCGGTTATGTGGTGTAACCAGCGGTGCCTATTTTTCGATGAAATAGACGAATATAAACAAACCATTCTGGTGGGACTTGAGACCCTTCATAGTCCCAACCAAACCTATTCGAATATCTAACCCAACGATTTCTCCCTGACGTTAATTTATGAATGAAGCTTACCAACGAAGTAATTATTATTTTCATAGTATTTGTTTCCGAAATTGTCAGTTCCAACTAACTTTCCCCATTTCAGTTCGTCAGTCCTATAGTAAAACCTTAAAAGTGAAACCCTTACCTGAATAAAGTTAAGAACGACCCTTTAATCCCACCGTTCTGTCGTATTATTAGTCTTAGGGTGTTTATCTTCTCAACCAAAGACATCTCATTCAGGTGGCGCGGCAACCTTGACGCGCCCAAAGTTCAAATGGTTCAAATGGTTGTGGACGGAATAGAAGAAGCTTTCGCTTAACAGGCTTCCGTGTCTAGTAGCAGGGGATCACCAAATCCTCCAGGCAGGAACCTAGGTATGTTAACAATAAAAGAGGAAAAGAAATTGGTATATTGTGATGCTGTCCTTGGTCCTTAAGAATAGGTCAAGTTGCCTCTTGAAGGACTCCTGAGAAGTCGCTTGGACTAGCTCGGCCGGCAGCGAATTCCAGCTTTTGACAACTCTTAAGGAGTAGAAGTTGTGTCTACATTCCGTCTTGCTATGTTGTGTTTCCAGTTTCTGGGTGTTACCCCTTAGGTTGTTATTCGAACTAAGCTTAAGTAGGTGTTTAAGAGGATGTCCAGAAGTGTTAAGAATACTATAAGCCATTAATAAATCACCTCTAAGACGCCTATATTCTAATGGGTAAAGGTCTAGTGAACGGAGGCGTTCTTCGTAAGGCTTAGATTTGAGTCCTCGAACTGATTTCGTGGCTCGCCGTTGGATACGCTCCAAAGTGACCTTGTCCTTTTGGAGTGAGGGGGGAGTACTATGTTTCCGTACTCTAAATGGGGACGGATGAAACTATTGAAGATTGTGTGGAAAGTTCTTCCGTCAAACTGGCCAAAAATGCGCCTCAACGTTACCAGTGCAAGGTTTGCTCGGAAGGCATTTTTGTCACAGTTAGCGTAAGACTTTAAGTCATGGGGCACCAGGACTCCTAAATCTTTTTCGACTTGGGATACTACTAGAGAGGAGTTTCCTAAGTTGTAACTGTAGTTTGCGACATGTCGCAGATGGACTACTTTACACTTTGAAGTGTTAAAGGTAAGTCCGTTATCGTCTGCCCAACTTTGAAGTCGAGTCAGATCCTCCTGAAGTGCCTGTGTATCGTCTTGGTTGCGTATCTCTCTCCAAAGTTTCACGTCGTCGGCAAAAAGTAATAAATCTGACGTTACCTGTTGAGGAAGATCATTTATGTAGATCAAGAAGAGAAGAGGCCCTAGTACTGAGCCCTGGGGGACCCCACTAGGACATTCCATAGCCTGAGATAAAGTGAAATTAACCCTAACCTTAAAGTGTCGATTTTTTAGGTATGAAGTAAGCCAATCGATTAGGGGTGGTTTGATACCTAGTCGTTTGAGCTTGTTGATAAGACACATGTGGTTAACCTTATCAAAAGCTTTTGAGAAATCAAGGTAAATGACATCAACCTTTCCCTTGCAATCGAGGATGCTTGTCCATCTGTCCACCGCAGTCAGCAGGTTGGTTATACAAGAGTAACCCTTCCTGAAACCATGCTGTTGGGGTGAGAAGAAATTTAAGGACAGTAGATAGTCATTTAAACCGTCGCATATCAGGGACTCCATGAGTTTTGAAGGTAATGACAGAAGAGCCACCGGCCGATAACTTGAAGGTTCATTGCGTCGACCACCTTTGAAAATTGGTGTGATGTGAGCCAACTTCCAATTTTCCGGTAATTTGCCTCGGCTAAGCGAGTGTGAAAACATCACGCTAAGCGGCGTTGCCAGGATTGAGGCTGCCTCCCTCAGTATGGCAGGATGAACCATATCCGGGCCAGGAGAAGTGTCAAGTCTTAAGTGCTGCAATTTCCGGAACACCAAGTCAGCGCTTAGGTCCACTTCAGAAAGTCCTGTGGAATTGCAGATGAAACTGTCGTCAATAAAGTTGATGTCAGCCGGTTGAAATGTTTGAGAGTAATGTGCCGCCAGAAGGTTAGCGGCGTCGCCATCGTTGTTGGTCGGGCCGTTAAGACCTAGCAGTTGAGAAACTCCTGTTTTGGCTTGACGAAGAGAGGCTGCATAACGGAATAGGCTTCTAGGGTTAGAGGCGAATTTGTCCATAAGCTTTGGTACGGTTCTTGATTACTGTAGGTGGCTTGCAGCTTTTGGGAACCGTTTGAGGAACTGAATGGTCTGTAGCACATAAGAGCGTGTGCAGTAAGAAGTCCCAATGACCATCCACATCGAGTTGAGGGTGAACATCCCAAACCACCTGTTGTAGATAGCCATGTAGAGCTGGCACATTCAGCCGTTTAAAATTCCAACGCAAAATATTGTTGGGATACCTTAGCTTAGTTTTGATGAAAAAACTGAAGGCTATGACGGCATGATCGCTCTTTCCCAGAGGAGCCAGGATTGAGAGGTTGTCGACTAGGAATTCTTCGTTAGTGAATACACAGTCTAAGCGCGATGGTGTCTGACTGTTTCTCCAACGAGTTGCCGACCTCATATTTTCATATAAGCCCAAGTCATCGATGAGGTTGTAGAACCGAGCTTCAATTGAGTTGTCGCCTCCAGTGTACGTGTGTTCCGCGAAGTTGACTCTAGGGAGATTAAAGTCCCCTAGAATCAGGATGTGTGTGAAACCGAGACGGATAGAGCGGGATAGTCCTTCCAGCATACGACTATCGTACTCGATGTCGGCAGTTGGCTTCCTGTAAATGACTCCGACTAGACACCTCGAAGTACTAGACAATCTTACAGAGCACCATATGGATTCCTCAAGATTGTTAAACTCGAGGTTGTGAACTTGGTGCACCTCCAAGCAAGAGCTTATGTATATGGCTACTCCGCCCCCAATTCCTGTTTTTCTGTCGTTGCGGAACAAAGTCATCCCAGGTAATGCTAACTCTTGGTCCGAGAACTGAGAAGATATCCAGGTTTCAGATATTCCTATCAGATGGGCCTTATTAGCGTTGCTAAGTTCACGTAGTTCATCCAGTTTGTTTGGTAGACTCGCGGCGTTCATATATAAGCAGTTTATGCTTTCAATTTGGAACGCGTGAGCTTCGTCCTGTGTGAATGGACAGGTAGCCCACCTATATGAGGTTTGCCGAGGTGGTAGGCCCTGTCCTTTACACGTTTTTTTTATCGTTTAGACAGTCCACAAGTGGAATGGTCAGCTCCAACTTGCCTTTGTTCTTGGTCCTAGCTTCGTATGGCCTATCCGGGTGCATGTGGATTCCAGGTGGCAATCGACGTCTATTGCACGAAATGCTTCCAGAACTGCAGCCGCCATGTGGGAAGATGGGAAGGTTATCTTCATTAGACGGGGTCTAGGATCACCGTCCTTCTTGGCTAGTCTCGTCACATGCTGAGTCAGTATGTGTTTGAGCCTCAAGGACTGTTTGATGAATTTCCATTCCCTGATGTCAGAATGTGATTGAGTAGGGTCTGCATTTTCCGGTATACCTTGAACAATTATGTTTCTACCGCGGAAAACTTCTCGCGAGATTCTTTAGGGATGTTTCGTATGATATTGCGCTCAGAGTACGGTATGTCGGGCAATATTCTTACGTTACCATCTGATTTCAGCAAGTGACTTGCTAGCAAGACGTCCTCTACGTCGGTAGCATTCTTAAGTGTTACTCGGAGAAGCCTCGGGTGATTTAGATGCTTAGAATCCTTTCCTCGAGTGAGCCGGGTGACCGTCAAAGGCTCTATTCTAGGAAGTTCGAGCTTCTTGTTCAATTCACCCCAGAGCATCCTGTCGTTTTTGTCCTGCAGACTGAGAGGAAGGTCAGGATTGTCAACGAGGTTCATGATAATGAGAGAATCGTCACGAACTGTTGTTAATTTACCAGGTTTCACGATGGGTTCAGGTTTAATAACTTGTTGTTTCAGTCTTCAGTAATAAGGATGAGAGGTCTATCGACCTATATTAATCCTTGCAGTCTGAAACACTGTGGAGGTCCATTCTAGTTTTTAATATATCAACAGAAGGTGCTGATATTACGTGTTCTGGTAGATAATTTTAGTAATACACCACTGTGTGAGAAATGAAATTCCAGACGTAGTCGCTTTTGATCTCATTTTTTGAACTTTCTTCAAATGTCCTCCCAAATGATCAATCGCAGAAGGAAGGAAAAGATTAGATATACTGGTACCAAGGTCACCTTTCAGTATACGATAAGTCAATATAGGTCACCCGTGTTCTACGGTAAGATAGGGGAAATAAGTTGAGGGGTCTCAGTCTGTCATCATTAGATCGGCCGGGCAGACCTTTAGCCATGTTAGTCCCTAGTCGTTAGACTCGTTCCAGCATATCTGCCTGATACTTGAAACCAGGACTCATTGCTTGAATCCCATATTCTAAATGAGGTCTCACGAAAGTCGGGTATAATAATGTAAACATTTCTTCATCCAAATTCTGAAAACATCTACGAACAGCCCATAAAAACTTAAAGCCTTTTGCTGTAGAAGCCTTGCAATTACTCTTAGTTTTGAGATTGCTGCCTATCATGACTCAATCTTCAGTCTTCACTAATAAGGATAGCAGGTTGATTAATCTGTGTTAATCCTGACATATTGCCTTCCAGTAAGGGTCCAGCTTCTCCTCGAAAATATTCACCGATGGGGCTGATACCACTTCTTCGGGTAAGGCGTTCCAATGATTGACTACTCGATGAGAAAACCGGGATCCCACTTTAAGTTTATTAGATCGTGGTTTATGAACCTTCTTGCTATGACCTCTGAGATTATTAGTGCTGGAGGGAGCAAAAAGATAAGACATATTAACACCCAAATCATAATTAATGATACAAAATACCAGTATAAGGTCACCTCGTGTCCTACGATACGACAAGGGGAAGCGGTTAGGCGTTTTAAACGCTCATCATAAGGGAGTTTAGAAAGACCTTCCACTAATTCCGTTCCCACACTCTGGACACGCCCAAGTGAGTTAGGATCCTTTACCAGACATGGGCTTGGATACAGTACTCTAAATGTGGTCTCACATAAATGGGATATAAAATTAGAAACATTTCCCCGTCAAAAGATTTGAACGCTCGGTGAAGTGACCATACGCACGGAAATCTTTGACAGCGGCTGCGTTGCAGTGCGTAGTTGTTTTTAAGTCATGTCTTATTATTACTCCTAAGTCTTTATGTTCTTGAACGCATGCAAGAGGTTTGCCACCAATAGTATAATGG